GCTTACTTTCACCGATCTTTTCCTCAATTTGAAGCTGAAATATAAAGAAAATCATTTCAATTTACAATGTATTTTGTATTACTTAAAATATTTTGAAAGTAATTTGTTAGTGTCTCAACATAAACTTATATATGTATAAGCAGGGCTTGATTTCTGGTGGAATGTGATGGAACAGTGTTCCGGTATATGGTCCCCCATGCTCTCCNNNNGCAAAATGTTGCATTATTTGTATCTTATTTGCATTATTACCAAATGTGTTATTTGTATGTCATCAAAAGCTTAGCCCTCATAATAAGAATTAATGGAGTGTAACCAATTCTTCACCCTTGTTAACTATATTGTATTGGTGTTTTATGATGCAGACCCTTCGAATGCAACTACTCCATTGTCTTTTGTGATACTTTCGGAAAACCCAAGACCTAACGCTTTGCCAGAACAAACACCAGAGAATACGGAAAGGAGTGATGTCACTCCAAGTGACAGTAACCTTCCTCCACTTGTGAAGGCTGCTGAAGTTGGAGACTTGAGTGAACTTGAATTGTTACTGAAAAATGATCCATCTCCCAAACAGGTGCTAAACTTAACTAAAACATTTCTTCTGGGTTGAATTAAAATAGTTTTTGTTACTTTTTGGATAATTGTTCAAATTGATATTTGTGATTCATGTCATCCTCAGATTAGTCCCAGAACTCTTGTAGAATTTCATTCATGTTATGATCCCTTTGAATGGTTATATTGAGGTGACAGGTGTCTCAGTTAGAGAATGATTTCTGTATATTGTGTGAGGCAACTATGACAACATAACAATTTTTTAAGTATAGTTATTTGTGCCTTCTGCTTCCTTTTGCCTTTCAAACCCACTTGCCAGTACACAAATGGAATAGTTGGCTTATTTTGTTTGTTTTATATTTACTTTCTCGTCTTGTAGGTTTTATCTCTACTTGAAAGCTTTCAAGCTTGAAATACATGAGACTTTTATTCACTCTAGCATAATGTTAAGTATTTTGTAGATGAAAATTTCTTTGTTATGTATTATACTGATTCATAAATTTACCTTTCTTTATTAATTATTTAAATTTTGTTCATTATTATCATTCAACCAATTATATTTTATTCATAATTTTTATTTAATTTAATTGTTAGTTAGATATTGTAAAATTTTACTTGTATTAATTGTTATGTTCATGTTTCTTTGTCGATGATTTTAGACCCATTTCTTATGTAACCATGGAGAGAATGCCAAGACCCTTGTGTTTACCTCATAATTCCTAGTTGCTTTATGACTTTCAAGTGTTTAGTTTAAGTATTTTTTGCTTGTTTTGTTTGTATTTTTTGAATTAATTATGAAATGGTTGCCTGGAATGGATGCCTTAGGTGGGTGAAGCTTTGCTGAGGGCTGGCTCTCCTTCAGTAGTGAAGATGATTTACCAAACACATCCTGAGATAATAAGAGGGCCAGAAGGATCCAGAGCACTTTACTTTGCTGCCGAGTGGGGTCGAATGTCTTTATTGTGTGGGCTGCTAGATGCTGGCCTAGATCCCAACACAGCAAGTCGTTCTACATTGACTGTCCTGCACAAAGCAGCAGCAAAAGGTCATGTAGATTGTGTACATGCTCTTCTGGAAAGGGGAGCAGATATCTCTGTAACCAACAACACCAAATGGTCAGCCCTCCACTTAGCTGCAATGAATGGAACTACAGACTGTATGTCAATACTTGTGAAGGTACTCAATACATCACATTAAATCACTGCTCTTAAATTCTTTTGAATTTATGTATTTATTATTAACAAAGGCAACTTCATTAGGTTGTTGTTCAATGCTACATTCTCCTTTCTCCTTTGTTAATTATATTGGTAAACACACGCTTAGCTCCTTGGCAACCAACCATCTAAACAACGCATTAAGAACGCGTCCATAGTAAAAGTCATTAAGAATGCTTGAGAGTCCATTAAAAATATTTTATTACCCGAGTGATTCTGTGTGGCTTCGCAGAATCCACATCATGTAACAAAATCTTGGCATTCGTTTTCTCGTTACGTTTCACTTAATGCAATGCCATACTTCTGAGATTTTCTCTTTATCTGCCCATTCAAAAATATCAGTCTGAAATTCCTGGCAAATTCACACTGGATGCCAAGAATACAACTGCAAATATAATTACGTATACAATGCGTATGCATGTAATTACAATATGCACAATGATTTTATCTTCTCTGCTTTTTGTTATGACAACATATACGAGTTGTGGGTAATGGAAAGGCTTTTTGTTAAGTTCAAATTTTTTTAAATTTGCTGTTTGATACTTATTTGTAATGCATTATATTGAAATATTGATTGACTTGTATTGCTGTAGAAATTTAGTAAAAACTATGTTTGTGAAAATGTTATTGGATGTTGTGGAGACAGGGGTAGCGCCAATGAGCCTCTCCATCGGATACATTACTGGCCTCTGTACCAAGTGCACTTTATTTTATTTCAATAGTACAATGAGGTTTTGAGTAAATGAAAATCTGTTCTAAAGGTAAGGGTCAGGGCAGGGCAGAGCAAGGGCAGAACAAGAGAAACCTAAAGGGGCAAAAATAATGGGCAGGTGGATCAGAACTGTGTGATATGTGGCGAAGCGAAGAAGTGTGTATGGGGGGGGATGTTTGGATAGCGCAAAGTGATGCATCTTGGAATGGCAGAGATGTAAATAAAATTACTTCATTTTTACATTATAAATAGGACCGATACCTTTTTTTCATCAACTAGATATTTGTGATAAATAAATGCCCTGCTATGTCATATTTCTTCAGGTGGTCTCTAATCAAATTCATGGATTTCGTCATATTGTGAACTGTTTGCTATAATGTGGTAATAAGGGAAAATGTACTTCATTTCTGAACACTTATTTATTTGTGTGTTGTTTTATTGATTTCATGAATTTAATGATTAATTAATATGGAAGAATTACAGGTCCAAATTAATATTACATGGTAACTAATCAATTTTAAAGATTATTAGAGTTTCGTTTATTGAAAATAAAGCATAATAATAGGTTGTATTCGGTATGAAATGATATGTTCTTATACACTGTCGGTCAAACTTTTTAGACTCTACTAATAATTTCAAATTTATGACAAAAATAGATTGAAAGAGTACACTGTGAGCATTGGCTATCATATTATCCACATATTTTAGGCCAAAATTATGTAGATTTACAATAAACTGAAACATTTTAACTTAAAAAAATTTAATTTGTTTAACTTTCTGGATGATTCTTGGCATTTTATTCATGAGTTTTTCACAAACCATAGCAGCTTCAATGAATTATTTTACAAAACCTGTATTTTTCAAATCTGAACCACTAGGAAACAGAAACTGTAGTGTACCTATAGTCTGAACTCCATAGCACATGACAGCAAATTGGATTTCTCAGCCACTTAATGGTTTGCACTCTTGTGTGAAGATATGAGGATCCCTAAGTAATGTTTATCTACACAAGATAAATTGATACAAAGGCCTGACTTCAATGCAATGGGTTTCGGTTGCAGTAGCAAGGCCAAATACATGACCCTGAGGGGATTTTTGTGCTTCTTGGGTCATATCCAATGTCTATTAGCAGGGTTTGGTTTCTGACGATGTAAAAATTCTTTGAAAATGACCTTTAAAAGATCTAAAAATAAAAGGAAAACGTGTTAAAAACTTAATAAGAGGAAAATGACATCATTTTTTTGAAATACTCAAAAATTTGTATGAACATGTTTACCTGTTCAGTGAATTATAAAATTTTAAATAAAATTTATTTATGTAGAATTATGTTTAATATAGTCTTCATTTGAGGAGGAAATGTTATCCTTAGCTCTGATATTCCAACCATCGGATTTGAAAGGTTAAGGAAGTTACCAAAGATCTGTATAATTTTCAGTGTTCAATAAACAGAGTCCAGTGCTATAGTGAATTTTTTCATGTACTGAAGATAAAATGAACACTTTTTTTTTGTGAGTCATTGTAAATTCATGAAACATTCATTAACAAAAAAATACGAAAAGGGGAGGAAATGCGTAAAAATGACCAAAAACAAGACATAAAAGTAAATAAATGAACTAAAAATTGAAAAATGACAAAAAATACCCGAATAACATTACTTTACAAGTTAGCTACGTTTTCAATGCTCCAATGAAAAGATGGCATGTCATCAGAATCCGAGCCCTGTCTATTAGTTGCAATAATAAACAATAAATTATTTTTGTGAGGTTTTTGTAGACCCAAAACTAATGAACTAATCACTTAAGTTATTGTAGAAATAAGCATTAGTTAAGTTTGGAATAGAATTTGGAAAGGTGGGATATGAACCGCTTCTGATATTTGTCTTAAAAGGCTGGTGCTGATATTGAGGCGCAAGACAAAACTGGCTGCACCCCCCTTCACTATGCAGCTCGTTGGAATCATGTTGACGCTGTTAAGTGGCTACTGATGAAAGGGGCTTCCCAGAGTGCTAAGAATCATCGGGGCAAGACACCGCTTGATTTAACTAATGGGGGGGAGATACTCAAACTTCTAACAAAAGATTCAAGGGCAGAAAATCTAGAAGATAGACTCCAATTAAAGGTAAAGTATTTGTTGGGTTTCTTGCAGCAAGGGAACATTAAATTGCATGAAATACTTTCTTATATAAATAAAGTATTGCTTTGGAAATTGTATTAGCTCTTGATTAATGGTTAGTTTCACTTTAAATAGCTTTTAAAATTATTTCAAAGAACTAAATCGCACTTGTATTTGTTGGAACACACAAGAGTTCAACATGACATCATGAGTGTAGTCTTCCCTTCCCTTAATTTCGCCTTCATCACTACTTGTTGGATAAAGTGGTCTCCTCAAAACATTTTGATTATTGTGAAAAGTATTAACATAACTGTGTAACTGTCTAAAAATGTGTAACATGCATAGGATATATGTAGTTGAAAATAATGTTGCACATTCTTGAACATTGGATATGATAATCCTCTCTTTTTCAGGTTAAAAGGTTGAAGAAATAGTAAATGATTTTCTGCTAAATGCAAAGATAATAAAACAGAATTGGGAAAAAAATGAAGAAGTGGAATCTTGTCTTGATGGTAAACAGCTATATTGAATATGTAATTTAATTCATGGATGGATATTTAGAAAGCATTAGTTTTGATGTGAATGTGCTTTTGAGATTTTTGCTTTATGGTTTATTGTGGAATAAGGTTTTTCTTTGTTTCTTTGTGGTAAAATACGGTTTTGTTTTTGCTCTTATCAATGACAGTATCATTTAATTTAACTTTTTATTGATGATATTGTTTATTATTATCGGCATCATCATTAAGACATTATCCCCACTGTTAATGGTGTGGGTCCAGTACTACCAGGTTGTGCTCAGTAAGGGCACAACTGAACCTTCTGTAGAGACAGTGCATGACAATTCCCAGTTTCTCAAATACTGATTTGTGAGAATATGTATGTTTCTTATATGATATTTTTTTAACACATTTGTTGAAGCATTTCTACTGCTATCATGTGGCAAGGTTAGTCATAACCAGCTGCATATATAAGATTCAGCATGTACTTACAATTTTCATGAACCAAACAAGCAGGAATATTTTCACAACTATTCATTTCTGCAGGGTTTGTTCTACATGACTACAGGGAAAATGTACAGTGTATGTTCTCTCCAATTTAAATTTCTTTATCAGAAAGATGGTCATAGGACAGTTACCATCAATTGTACCAATCTTGTAGGATTTACATCAGTGGTACCTTTACCATCTGAAGGCTGCAATAATTGATCTTCCATGTTTGATAAATCTTACAGAAATCACGTACCACATTATAACTACCAAAAACTACAAATTTTTCCTATTTATTAAAAAGATCTGTATTAAACAACAATTGCACCAGAAATGAAAATAAATCAAACCTGAATTAATCAAATTGAGCAGAAAAGAAGCAGAAACAGGGCAGTAAACTTGGGTCGTATGATACTAGACGGTGAATTTTTAGTTCTGATACCAGATAGTGCCTTGCAACTTTGCAAAGTATCTAGTATTATCTCTTTGGTATTTGATATGGGTCACTGTGCCACAAGTGGTCTTTCTTATGCATTGCCATGTTCCCCAATTCAATTTTTAAGAAATTGAAAAAATAAATTTTAAGTAATTGAGGGACAAAATGGGAAAATAAAAATCTCATTTAATTTGAATTTTTATTGATGAAATTTCTCAATTTTTTGGTAATAGGTATAATATATTGTAGGTAGGATAATCGTGTTGGAGTGCAAATTCTTTTTTGTACATATTTTTAATTAAATGTGTATTTTGTAATTAATTGACAGTTTTTGTTTGAGTATATTTTTCCTGCCTTATTGAAATAAATGGAAAATAAATGTTAAGGTGTAGTGACATTTGCAAATATAAATACTCAGTATTCTGATCTCGTTTGTTACAGTGTAAATCCCATTTCTATCTTTTGAAGAATAACTCCATATAATGTTTGAAGACAGTATAGTCTTCAATTAAATATATAGTTTTCTTTCTCATATATTTAGTATGAAAAAACTTGTGAAATACCAAAAAAATGGACCTGGAGAATTTTCCTGAAATACATGTTTGAAGTAGCTTTGCCAATGAAAATGTCTGATTTTCGGAAACACCTGCCTAAACCTGTTAAGAACACAAGTGTCTAAATGACACACAGGTCCCCTCCCCCTCCAGTGAATATTGTCTAATATTTTTGGTCCAACTTAAGAACTTGCAAATTAGATATGGAACTTGTATTATTTTTTTTAAGTACAATAAAACCTTTGTAAGGCGTAAATGTGCCTATGTCAGAAAAAAAATTCAGAACAGACTATTTTCCAAAGCAAAGTGCACTGGATAAGATGGAAACCTGTCTAGCACAGAAACTGAAAGGAAATTGTAGTATGATGGTATTAAAAGTTCTGGAGAACACAAAATAAATATTTAAAAAATTAGCCATTGTAAGACTTGTAAGTGTGGCGACATTGTACCACGAGATACTCAGAGTTGTTCTCTTCCATTCCCTTCCTCAGCTTCCTACTTTTTGGACGTTGTATTTCCTTAGCTACTCCTGCGAAAGCCACTGCCTTTTTGTAATACCACTGACCTTCACAAGTCTGTGTCAAGGGAGGTGAGATCCAAAGAGCAATTCTTCCACAGTTTTTGTAATATGTGCATTGGGTTTAATAGTTGTATGAGTTTACTGTTGTTCAGTTTCAGGTATTGTGATAATCCATTGTTTATGATGTCAAGCGCAAATTGAAAATGTTAACTCTTAGTGAGAAAATTAGACTAATTGAAGAACACAAACAAACCTACACTTCTGTCACAGTTTTGATAAAGAAATGTAAAGTTGGTAAAACTCAAGTGTAAGATACCTTTAAACAAAGTCAAAATCTAGAATTTTGAATCAAGATTGAAAGGAATTTTTTATAGGTGGTTGCCATAATGTTCGTGAGTACTTAGGCAAAATGCCGAAGCTTAAATCGTCAGATGAATTCATTTGTTCCTACAACTATTGAACAAAATAATTATTCTTTTACATTTTATGGAGTTCTTTGTTTCATTAGACTTCGTGTTGCGTTTCTGTTTATCATTTTCTTTGACTGTCCTGGGATGTCTTCGTTTTTTTGAAATGTAGATTTTAGGTGATATAAACTACTCATACAACCTATTCCATCTTTGAACACTTGTGTTTTCTGAATTGAGAGTTTTTATTGTAAACCTGAATAAGCTGGAAACCTGTACAAGATAGAGGAACATGGTCCAAAATGATTGTGCCCTAGAAAGATTTTACTGTAGTTCATCTTCAAGATACAAAAGCGTATTTTAAAGTGCTTTTTTTTTAAATACCTTGAATGAATACAGAAATGTGTCCTTTAGATTTAGAAAAAGACTGATTTTCATTATAACTTCAAATTTTTAAGAATTGCAAAATTTCACCCCTTTTCTTCAAACCTCTCCTTTGCCTTCATTATTGAAGGTAGTGATTGGAAGGAAGTAATTTTGCTCATAAGTGACTTCTCTATGTATCATGTTGTATATTCCATAAATAGCTTATGAATTTCGACATGTTTATTTAGGAGTGTTAAAGCCGGAGATCTTGGAGCATTGTTACAATGAAAACAAATTTTCATTTATATTCATTCAAGTGTAAAGATTCAATGTTCATTATCAAATTTTTACCCAAAAGTTTATAAAAAGTCAGTTCTCTGTATGAGTCTGAAGAGATATAAAGAAATGGAAATGATGTACTTCTTTATCCAAGAATTTTTTTCAAATGTTGTGTTAGAGATGGCAAAAATATTAGTTGCATTAAAGGGGCAAAATAACTCGTGTAGTTCTCTACTCTTGCCACGGAAGCCTACGACTTCACTAGTGTAGTTTTGCCTAACCATTACAAATAATATAATACTATACTATACTATGTTTAAGTACCGCTAGATTGTAACACTAAATCCCCAAATGCCACCATTTTGACTAATGGCATTATTTATATGTTTGGAACATCTTTATATATCATCTATAAATAGGAATTTGTGATTTCAACACTTTCATAATTTATATTTATTTACAGACATTTCCATTCAAGTGTCCAAATATTTTTGTGAGTTAACTTTTCAGCATAAAAAGTTCAAAATAAAAAAGATCAGTTGATTATCGTGATTCTAAAGAAACTTTCGTAAATACCTTATACGAGTAATTGCTCATGCCAGTGATTGTAGAATATACTTTATTACATTTATTTTCAGCTTTTAATATTCCTAATCCATGATTATTCTCCTAAATTTCCCATGTGTGAATAGTTGTGAGAGTTATGGAATATTCTTTCTTTTACTTTGTATTGTTTTCTCATACAGACTTGTGATGTGTTACCTTGTAATTTTGATTAATATTGTTTAAGAATAATAAAGAAATATTAAATATAATTCCGGCCGCGACAAGGTCTATGCAAGCATTTCCGCAAGCGTAGTGAATGTTTTTCACGATTCGTAACTGCTCTCCCTCCTTTGGATGATGAGATCCGGAGCCGACCCACACGTAGGCTTGCGGTGTTTTCCTCAACTGGGTATCTCCCACCAGCCAACCGGGACAAGCTCGATCAGTAAGCTCCTGACAAGTATGGTAGTATTGGGTGCTTGTGTGTTGATAGGGGAAGGAAAGTTCGTTCGCACCGTGGCGCTTTTGTTTGGGTTTGCTTCGGCATTTGATTGGTGTTGATCGGGGAAACCATGAAGAGTTGTCCTCCAGCCATCCCTTGGAGTTCGCGGTTCCCTCGGTTCAGAGGCACCGCAGAGGCAGACATCAGTTGATGCCTTGAGCCACCTTGGACGGTTATTGTTATGTTAAACGTAATCACCTGAAGGATGATAAAAACATGGATTTTTTTGCATTTATTTCTTATGATTGAAGGATACCTTTGCTACCAAAAAGATTTTTTGGATGGGATGTTCCCATTTCTAGTAACAAATTCAAAACCAACCGGGTCGCTTTAAAATCACATCATTTAGTTTCTATTGGTACGTCATCTGGGCCTACAACTCGTTAATTTTCGTGCTACTTAATTCGGTTTGTAGAAGAAAGTTGGTGTTGGGGAGGGGTGTCTGGAGTAAGTTACGGGATGACGAATTTGCAAAATACAGCTACACTAGGTAGGGTTCCTTAAATCGATTTCGTTCGGCGAATCTTTCGACATCTGAATGTAAAAAAAGTTCTTTTTAAAGAATCCTACATTGTTTGTGTTCAACTTCAAGTAGCCATCTCCAAATAAGTGTCTATGAGAATGTTTCTCAGAACAATCCAACGAAGAAAAGTGTGTGTGGAGGGGGGGGGTAGTTGTTGAAAATGGGGACGCCAGATCCAACGGGGACGTTCAATTTCTCACTGATATATGTCGCCTGAACTGGATTTCTGGCGGCACGCGATGGAACGGCGTTCTGGTTCCTCGGGAACAAAAAGCAGAGGACAAACACTTTGATTTATAGTTCGCCAACATTCGTAAACCCAAAATTAAATTATATTCCACTTATCCACTGTATCAGTTCCACTATTGTACAATAAAATTATTAATAAACGATAAAATAGTATTATAAATTCTATTTGTTAATTTTATTTAAATTATATTTTTTTTACTAAAATATTATAAATCAAGCATAGCGTGATGCTGAGGGTTTCCAAACGTGATACTACTTCACTATGTAGAAGGCCGGTCAAGTAGTTTTAGAGGAGACGTGGATGCGCATGCTTGATATTGTTTGATTTACGAAAGTTTTCAGGTTTTTGTTGAAAACGATTTCATTTATGTGTTAAGCTTTTCCCCCAGACCCTATGATGGCTTAATGGATGGAGAATGCCATGTAAGCATCAGTTAATCATAACTGCAGTGGCCCAGGTAAAAAAGGGCCTGCTTTTAAGATAAAAGTTTTGCAATTGTGAGCAATATTAATTACTCGATACTTTCTCTCATTCTTTGTGATAGAAGGTTTAAAAGAACGACTTTTTCCCGCCTCGATATCATATGTAAACCTGTTTGTAACATTGACGTTTTGTTTGGGTGTGCAAGTCATCTATCAACGCTCAAAGAAATAAAAAACCTATTTCCTTCGAGTTTATTTAGATTTTTCCATTCAGCCGTCCGTGCGATCGGCACCAGCGCGTGTGTGCGAGGGCAGTTCAGGCCATTGGCGAAAGTCTCCAACGTCCGTGACTATGATATTCTCCTTTGCGCGTTGCAACTTTTCGCGATACTCGTGAATTTTAATTTAATTTTTGATATGGATAGTGAAAAAGGGGTACAAAAGTATTTAAATAATTGCCTTTCTTCTCTTCCGTATGAAGAAAATAAACGAGTGATTGATCATGAGCGCCCATGTTCTAACCTAATATTTCACAATTTAATTTTTAAATAGACAACTGATGGATAGGAAAAACACCGACCATGAATTTTTAAATACTTTAAGATGTATTAATCCAATTTTTGCAATAAAAACTACAACACCCTCATTGTTGTTATTTTGCGACTATCTTTCCCTCATTCTTCAAATATTATAATTTAAAATAAATCAGGATTATGTTTATATAATTCAGCGTTACTCAAAATATGTTTGCGAAACGAGTAGTGTGGGGGTTAACATTTTCCTTCACTGCCAACGTCCTAGGTCCAAAGTGAGGATACGCCACTCGAAATATCTCCACCTTTGCCGAAATCCGGAGTCAAATGGCCAAAATCTTTCCTAGCTTTATTAATTTTGCCTGTCATCACTTCTTCTAAAAAGGCACGGTGTGGGCGAAATTTTTTTACGACACTTTTTTTATTGTTATATTAAGATTGATTTTTTATTAGTGATTCCGGGCGCGTCAACAAAGAGGGTCATTAGCCCCGTAAGTTTAGCACATGTTTTTGCTCGGGAGGTGGCGGTGATCTTTCTTCCACTGTAAGGTGAGATCCGGTCCCGACCTACCGTCGACTAGCGGGATCTTCCCCAACCAGGTATCTCCCACGTGCGGAGCTTCGCCCTAGCCGGGTCAAGCTCTAAGCTCCCGACCGGTGTACTGGCATGTGTAGTGCATGGTAGTGTAAGTGTGTGGATAGGGCAAGGAAGAGGTAGGAAAGATCGCCGTGGACCGTGGCCTATTTGTTAGGGTACTGCTTCGGCATTCGCCTGGTGTTGATAGGAGAAATCACAGAAAACTACAGATCAGAGTAGCTGGCCGCTTGAATTCTCCTTCAGACATCGACTGCATTCGACATAGCTGGCAAGCTAATATCGAAAATCTTGTTATATTTACTCGTATTTCTAATACACTCCTAGAGACAGCCAAGGCAGCACAATGCACTTATCCAGCTAATGCTTTGAGAGAAGTAAGTGTGAGGGCTAGATATTTGAATATGATATTAATTACTTAATAGCATCGTAAAACTTGGTATTCCCAGTGATTTTTAATATAAGCGATAGATGTTGGAATGGTATAATTCGAAACAAAACATTGATTATTATCCTATTTTTTACATCTCTGGTTCACAGAAAGACTTGGTTCTCAAGTAACAGCATAATTTTTTCCCACAACATTTACACGCAGCCCTAAGAGACGTGTCGAATGCAAACTCTCGGAGCCGAACGGCGCGATAAGGATTTGTGACCGGCGACTGCGATAAGTTTATTCAAAACCCCTTTTCACTTTCTCCCGTATCATGAAAAAGCCTTCTATTAAAGGCGTATGAAGTAGCGGCCGCAGACCTCCTGTGATCAAGGCTCTGTCGCCGCAGTCCAAGCTGTTGCCACTTACCGACGCTCGATTATTGCTTCTGAGTAAGGATTAAAAAACACACTCGTAATGCAATCGTATACAAAATAATATAGGGCATTTCACTGTTAAAATGGAGGTTGATTGATTGTTTAGTGATTCCGGGTACGTCATCTACCAGGGACATTAGTCCCGTAAGTGTAATGCATGCTTTTTTCTTGGGAGATGGAGGTGATCTTTCCCACTCTATATGGCGAGATCTGGCGCCGAGCTACCGTCGGCTAGCAGAGTTTTCGCCAACCAAGTATTTCCCACTAGCGGGGCACCGCCCCCAGCCGAAACAAGCTCTTACCTCCTGACGGGTCTCCTGGCATGTGTGATAGAGTAAGTGTGTGTGTAAGAGGAGAGGATAGGACAAGGAAGAGGAAGGTGAGATCGCGCGCGGTCCTTTTGTTAGGATACTGCTCCAGCATTCGCCCGGTGTTGATCAGAGAAAGCACGGAAACTACCGATCAGAGTAGCCGATCGCTAGAATTCTTCTCCAGACAGCGACTGAATTCGACCTAGTTAACACGCTAGTGTCGAAAATCCTGCCACCGTCGGCACTCGAACGTAGGGCCTTCCGGTCTAAATGCCTGCGGTGACGTCAGTTGATGCCCTACGCCATCTCTCCCGGTTTAAAGAATGGGGAGGGGAGGCACGTGACCATGTGACAATGCGTTGGAGCCATCTCTGATCGAAGTAAACCCTGACCCGAGAGGAAACGCATG